GAGAAGACTGCCATGTCCAACAGAAGATTCTGCATTAAACTGCCAGGCACTGGTGCTCACTTCTGCAATTCTAGCTACTTCAGGAGGCAGAGATCAGAAGGATTCAGTTTCAAAGGCAGCCCAGACAGATAGTTTCATGAGAACCCTATCTCAAAACAACAAAAAAGGGCTGGTGGAGTGGCTCAAGGTGTAGGACGAGTTTAAGCCCAGTAGCACACACAAAAAATCTTCTAGTACTGAGGATTTGAACTCAGGGCCCTGTGCTTGCTAGCAGGTGCTCTACCATTTGACTGCCCCCAATTCCTGCAGGAAGTTTTGAGACAGGGCATTTCCTCCCTTGGAGAAAGCCTTCTCCCTGTGGGCAGCCACTCTCAGCAGCCACACGGGACTTCAGATACAGGGACATGAGGAAACGCGCCCCAGCTAGGGAGCTGGCTCTAGTCAGACAGTGCCATTAACAGCAAAGTGCCAGAAACCACTCCTCAACCCATTCGTCCTATGTGGCACCCGGGCTGCCACCACTCCTAACTCCTTTCCCACTCCTGCTGTAGGGGCCATCTGAGCAGGAAGTCCACTCAGACACGGCTTAGGAGCCAGGTCAGGGGAGGTTACCTCACAGACGCCACAGCGCGACGTTTAAAGGCATTCTCCTTGTCCTCCCTGTCATCTTTTTCAATCTGTTCTGCGAAGACGTGTCAAAGATCTGGTAGACCAGCTTGGTGGTGGTGGCTTTTTGTGGGGCTTTATCCTTCTCTTTGGTGGAATGTCTGATGGTCTGACGCCTCTCAGCTCGCCTGGGAGAAGGGTCCAGCGTTTTAGGGAACTGGATACAGGCAACTCTGCCTACCTTATCTCAGGTCTCCAGTTTCATTCCGGCTGCGTTCTTACCTCTGTCCCAGGGTAACCCCAGCCAACTTGATTAGGTCTCTTCATGCAGGGGGACAGGAAAATGGGCTGCTCGTCACTGTCCTTAGCGTCATCATAATCTCTACTTGTCCAACAAACTGGGCGTGGCGGAGGAGAGAGTCCTCTGTGAAACCGGTTTAAGTTGATTGCAGATGGTGGAACGGTGGTCCTTTGGGGAAATAAAAAAAAAAACAGGAGTTGGACGTGTAGTGTTTGCCTAGGGTTCCATCCTAGCACCATGAAAAGATCTAATACTTTTTTTTTTGGCAGCACTAGGCTTTGAACTCAGGGGTTCACGCTTGCTAGACAGGTGCTCTTACCACTTGAGCCACTCTGCCAGCCTATTTTTTGTGATGGGTCACAATTATTTGCCCGGGAATGGTTCAAACCGTGATCCTCCTGATTTCTGCCTCTGATTAGCTAGGATAATAGGTGTGAGCCATTGACACTGGTCTTTTTCTTATAAACCCAGGACCTTGTGACAGTCGGGCAAGTGCTCACCACTGAGCCACACCCCGATGTGCTTTCTCAAACATTAAGGAACATGTCCCAACAGAACAGAAATAATTTCTCCTGACTCTGGACATACACCTTAGTTTTTCTAGCAACATCTGGGTTAGATGTGGGTCCGCAGTCCTGCTCACGAAGAACAAAAGCCTCTCACCTCGATCTTATTGATCAGGTCTTCATAAGTGGCGTCAGGATTGCCCTGCAGGAATCTACGACAATCTTGCTGATATAGATTTTCTCCTGCATCAATCCAAATATGGCGCATACTCTGGGCTGGGGTCCATCAGGATGTATTCAGCAAACGCTGGAGGGAACACGACTTTTATTTAAAACACAGAACATAATGACCAAATCAGTGTAATTAGCACTTCTATCTCCTTAAACATTTATTTCTTTATGCACATGACATTTTTATGTGCTTTGTTTGAGACAGTCTCACTATGTGCCCAGGTGGGATCCGTGTTCCTAGGTTCAACTGATCCTCTGCCTTAGCCTCTTCAGTAACTGGGATGACAAGTGAGCGCCATCATGTCCAGCCAGGTGATGTTTTAAAAAAGCAGGTACAACCTGATGGCTGCATGCTGGCCTCAGGGCAGGGATGAGTCTATGGAGCTTTTAGAACAATCTAAGATCATTCTTTACCCAAGTGACAAAGAACAGTCAGTTTGTCCTTAAGTAGCCAGTCCAGACCAGCTGGAGAATGGAGACTAGCCATGGGGTTTTTTCTCTGGATTTTGGAATTCGGTTGGGTTTGAGTTTTAAGAATATGACTCGCTCTTAAAACTGTAGGGTCAGTACCAGGGCCAGTCATAAAATATGAGAGGCCACCTTAACTGGACCATGGTCATGTGGCATTCTTACAAGCGTGCTGAGACTTCCTGCAGGAACCTGACAACCCCAAGAAGGCCCCAGTTTCGGGCCCAGAGCAGCCTCTGCTGGCCCAGACACTTACAAGTGCTGAAGCCAATGAGTGCTTTTCGCCTCCATCAAAGCCGGTGATCCACCACTCGTTGATGGGGCCAAGATTTTTGCCATTAACACACCTACAAGTACAGAAGAAAAGTTTTCCTAAGAGGCAAAGTCCCTAGTACCCAGTAGGACGACGTGGTCCTCGGAGGGCCCAGCTCAGCTGGCGTTTCTCATCAGCAGGCTGGGCGGTCCTCATTGGGGTGACTTTGCTAACAGGTGTTCAGGGCAGAGCCTCAGGCCCTCAGGTGAAGGCCGGCTACTGCTTTACAAGTGAGGTTTGTTTTTAAAATATCTGTCCCAAAAAAACTGCTAGAACATTCCCATACTTCAAGAGATGGGTTGTCCTCATAGTTGGTTTGGCTGAGCCAGAAAAGAAGAGCTCGACATTCTTCTCAATCAGGCCAGTGTCAATCGGGCACAGGTGACCTCGCTTACAGTACACACTAGACAGGTGACAGAGGATGTGCTTAACAGCAGGTTACACCACCACAGATAGCCACAGAGGGTTAGGATTGGGCACCAGGGATGCAACTAAATCCAAGTCTAGACTCTTATTTTTTTAGTTACCCGAAAAGTAGATCAGTACTGTGTTCTAATATCCAAACAATAAGCTTGATTGCATGTCACGAGGACGGGGATCTACAAAGAGGAACATGAAGGCAGGGGCACTTATGCTGGGAGCACCACTTCCATCACCCAAAACAACCCTGTACCACTCAGCAGTCACTACTGATTCCCCGGCCCTGGCTGCTGTCACCTGCACTGTTTCTATCGATTCACCCTTTGGGATACTTCCTGGGGTGTGTTAGGTGACTTGCACTTCAGTAAGAAAATAAAGCAGGTGGTGGATAGGAAGACCCATCAGAGACATAGGGAGAGGGACGCTTTCAGCCTCCCATTGCAGATTTTAATGTCAAAATGGACGTAGGGCACCCATGGTCCCCACAGCCACCCAGAGCCAAACGTTTTTGGCGTTTGGTAGCATGTCTCTCCCAAAGGAGTAATCAGAGAACCTAGGTACAAAAAAATCAAGCCAGGCACCAGTGGCTCATACCTGTAATCCTAGCTACTTAGGAGGCAGAGAGGAGGAGGATCAAGGTTCAAAGCCAGCCCTGGGCAAATAGTTCATGAGACCCAATCTTGAACCAACACGGTAAAAGAGCCGAAGAGTGGCTCAAGTGGTAGAGCGCCTGCTTGGCAAGTGTAAGGCCCTGAATTTAAATCCCAGTACTATTAAAAAAAAAAAAAAAGAAAAGAAAAAAAAAAAAAGCACAAAACAAACTTTTTTTTGAGATACGGTCTCACTACATAGCCCAGACTGGCCTCACACTTGGAATCCTTCTGCCACTGCCTCCTGAGTTGCTGGCGTTACAGGATTTCACCATCATGCTCAGACAAACTTTTTTGTGGAATTGGGGTTTGAATTCAGGCCAAGCTTCCAAAGTGGGCACTCCACTACTTGAGCGACATTCTAGACAGGGGGTTTTGCAAATCAATTGCCCAGGTTGGCCACAAACTGAGGTTCCCCTGATCTCAACCTCCCAAGTAGCTAGGATTAGAGATGTGAGGCACCAGTGCCTGGATAGGTAAACATTGCAAATGAAAACATGACACCAAAGTGGAGTCGCCTCTCATGCCCAGCGTGGCAGACAGAGATATGACAGCCCTACCCTGAGGGCTTAAGGTCCAGTGGGAAAGAGGGACACAGACGGTGAATGTCGTGGACCTGCAGGGGGGAGATCAGTCCCCTGCCCCACAGACTCACTGTTTCTGCAGAAGTGACAGAGAGAAACCCTGAGTTCCAGGCAAGGGCCAAGCTGACAGGGCTGACCCTCTGATAGCTAGTTTAGGCCAGCATAGTCAGGCCAAATGCAGAGTGTTAACTAAGCCAGGTGCCCTGGTCCAGGGCAGCACATCCTCAGCACTTTGCCCAGGAGCAAGGAAGCCGGCCCCTGCTGTTCTCCCAAGGACAGCAGGGGCCATGGCTGACCAGAAATCTGTCCTGCACAGTGGGCTTCACTTCAGCCCATCACATCTGTTGCCTGATCCTGGGACCTCAGACAGATAGCATCCTGACATGGATCAGAGTCCCGGTGTGGGGGAGAGCATTGCCACAGTGACACACAGGGACCCTGTCCCTAGTGCCATGACCTCCAGCCTGGGGTGGGTGTGGCATCAGGAAAGGGAGGGTCCTAAGGGTGCTGTCCATCTGAGGCTTCTAGCAGGTGCTCTTGAGGGGCCCCTTACCGTACACATAGCCTGGAAGGCCCTATGTGACCCAGCCCTACCCTGAAATCTGAAACACTGGTCTCAAGAGTTTCAAATAAAGGATCTTCAACTTGTACAACCTGAAAAGTGTCACTTGCTTGTTTTCTCCATCTGTAAGGACAGGGACCTGACGTGCTAAATCCACAGAGCCTAGATCAGCCCAAACACAGAGCTAACCCTCACTTGACCTCCGGGATGAGTACAGACTGTTACATCATCAATGACAAGAACGCGTGCAGTGCAGCCGAGGCCTACCATGCCTCCACCAGCCTCGTGGCTCTTCCCTGTGAAGAGGTAGCAGCTTAAGACATGGGCAGGTGCTAACGACTCGGCGGGAAACTCACAGCTCTGATGTTTCTGTCATGACATTACCTGAAGCACGTCAGCTTGTGCTGGGGGAAGGCCTCATAACTCTCAAAGCCAGACTCATTGGCGTCAAAGATGGACAGCTTCTCATTGGTCAGCATCTGAGGCTCCTCCAGCTGAGGGACACAGGACAGTTACGAGGAGGCACACGAGGCAGGAGGTGAAAGGTGAAAACAGAGCAGAACTTACTGCATCAGGAGGGTGCTGCTCGTACTTAAGGTCGACGTCGTCCAGGTACTGGCCACACTGGACACACCTGGGCGGCTGGGCCTGTGGGAACAGGAACAGAAACTACCTCAGAGGCAGCTTGGGAAACCCCAGCAGGCAGTGCTGCACAGCACCAGGTTCCCCAATGGCTGGATCCCCCATGTACATTTACCTTGGCGTTTACCACGGTTTTGGTCCGAGCCACTTTTTTCTCAGTTCTGGGAATAAAACATGAGACACTTTGTTCTTTTATCAATTCAGAATGTAGCCAAGTCAACCCTACCAGACCAATGCCCACTGTGCACTACATATGTGGGCCCTGGTGGCCACAGTGACAGGTGCCAAGTCCTAAGTGGCTCTTTACGACACAGAAGAATCTGCCTAATCTGGGAAAACCAGACCACCCTGGACCCATGGCCAAAGCAAAGCTAAGATTGCTCTGGTAATTCACTACAAACCACTTCGTTTTTCTTTTTTGGCAGGTCTGAACTCAGGGCCTCACGTTTGCTAGGCAGATTCTTTTCTCACTTGAGCCACTCCACCAGTCCTTTTGTGATGGGTTTTTTTGATAGGGTCTCTCGAACTATTTGCTTGGGCTGACTTTGAACCTCGATCCTCCTGATCTGTCTCCTAAGTAGCTTGGATTACAGACGTGAACCACTGGTGTTCAGCCTAATTTTTCTTTCTAGAACAGTCACCTAACATTATAAACAAAAAAATTCTTACGGTTCTTTGGGTGTAGTTTTGCGCCTCTTCTCCTCCTAGGGGAAAGAAAAGAGAAAGTATTTTACACCTGGACAGTGCTTCTAAGCTCAGAACTTCACATATGTGATTTCAAAAAACAGGGAGGGGTTAGTCAGAGGACCAGGAGGTGAGACCCGAATAATCCCAGTAAGTAAAATCGTACAGTATTACAACCAAAAAAAATTAAAAACAAAAGTTAAAAAAAAAAAAAGAGAAATAACTGAAACTGAATGGGCATGTGGTGTACAACTGTAATCCCAGCCTATGATGGAAAGTTTAAGGCCAGCCTGAGCTACACAGTGAATTCAAGAGCAGCCTGGGCTATGGCTGAGATCCTATCTCAAAAAAAAAAAAAAAAAAAAAAAACTTATGACCAAAGACCTCCTTAAGAGTTCAGAGCAGCCAAATTGAAACAAGCAGATCAATGTGGCTTTCCTGTACAAATGGAATGTTCGGAAAGCAAACAGCTGATGAAGGGGATCACAGACTAAACTGGGTCTCTCCAGAGTCTTACGTTAAGACCCTAACCCCCGATGTGACTGCATCTGGAGCCAGAGCTCTTAAGGAAGTCACTGAGGTCCCACAAGGTCAGAAGGGTGCAGCCCTGATCCACCAGGCTTCTAAGAAGGGGACTACAAACCAGGGCCCACTCTCTCCAGATACAAGTGGGGAAAAGCCACATGAGCACACAGTGAGGTGGCAACAGCTGTCTGAGCCAGATCAGCCCCACTGGAAACTAACCAGGTGGCCATCCTGAACATGGACTTCTACCACCAGTAACTAAGGGAAATAAATGCCAGTTATGTCAGCTGCCAGGTTATGTCAGTCTGAACAGATGACTACCCAGGAACATCAAGTTACTTCAGGTAAAAGGAAAGAAGATCGTTGCCACTTTATAACTCTTAGAGAGATCATGGATTTTGCAGCAACAGTTAAAAACAAGAGGTGAAGCCAGGCCCTGGTGGCGCACGCCTGTAATCCTAGCTACTCAGGAGGATCGTGGTTCGAAGCCAGCCAGGTCAAATAGTTCACAAGACACTATCTCAAAAAATCCCATCACATAAAATGGCTGATTTTAAGTGGTTTAAGGTGTAGGCCCAGAGTTCAAAATCCAAATACCATAAAAAAGAATTCTAGTACCGCAAACACATACACACACACACACACACACACACACACACACACAAACGGTGAGGTGGGTGTGGTGGTGGGGCACGCTTGTCATCCCAGCTACACAGGAACAGGAAATGTAAGGATGGAGGTTCAGGCCAGCTGGGCAACAGGGTAGTGAGATCCCATCTCAAAAACAAAATACAGGGCTGGCGGAGTGGTTCAAGCAGTAAGAGCGCCTGCCAAGCAAGGGTGAAGCCTTGAGTTCAAACCCCAGTGCCACCAAAACAAACAAGAAATCCATTTTTAAACATACCAACCTAGTAGGCTGGATGAAATGCAGTGGTATTGAAAAACAAAGCCTTAAGAGCCAGGTGGACCTCAGTTCAAGGCCAGAATGGATTATATGGTAAGATCTTGTCTCAAAAAAAGAAAAAAAAAAAAAGCTTCAAAACAATAATGAAAACAAAACCAAGGGCCTTTACCTTTTCGTCCTCATCTCTGTCATCAGAAGTCTGTGGAGTTACTTGCTCGGGTTCTGTTTCCTCAGGTCTCCGTTTGACAACTCTGGGGAGTAAATAGATAATGTATCATCAAGTATTAGCTCCAAAAAGGTAACTATGCTGCCAACTTGTACTGAAAATACAAACTAACACTTTCTTATCAACAAGCAAAATACTGCCAAGTGTGGTGGTACATGCCTGTAATCTCAGCACTTGCAAGGCTGAGGTAGGAGTCTCTTTAGTTCCAGGCCAGCATAGACTATATAGGAAGATCCTGTCTCAAAAAAAAAAAAAAAAAAAAAAAAAAAAAGCAAACTAGGCACTGGTGACTCCCACCTGTAATCCTAGCTACTAGGAGGCAGAGATCAGGAGAATCTCAGCTCAAATAGTTCACAAGACCCTATCTTGGGGAAAAAAAAAAAAATTACATAAAAGGGCTGGTGGAGTGGCTCAAGTGGTAGAACACCCTTGTACCAAGCATAAAGCCCTGAATTTAAACACCAGTATTGCTACCCTTCCCCTCCCCCCCCCAAAAAAAAATCAAAACCCAAAACACTTCTGAGGGCTCTAAAGGTAGGTTACTAACTTATCCTAAAACTTATCCTAAAACCTGCTGATCCCCAGGTGGGGAGGAGGGAGGCACTGAAGCCATAACTAAGCAGGGGTGGAGGGAAAGGACACGGCTCCAAGTGGGACCTGGCTCTCAGCCCTGTCTTCACACAGCACCACCCACCTCTGTACACTGCTCATCACCCCAGGTTTTTGGAACAGTGGTTTGGAGAATGAATACAACATAAAAAAGACAAGTTTCAGTCACTTACGGGTCTTTGGGTTGACTCCTGGGCCTCCTTTCATCCTGGCTGGGGACTGGGAGGGAAGTAGACAGAAAAATGGGAACAATTAGTCTAAGACAGAGCAGCGTGAAATGGACACACAAGCATCTCGGTTAAAGACTGTGGCCCTGTGGAATCGAAGAACAGGGCAGAAGTGCAGGGGGAATAGAGGAGGCGGAAAGTTTTCACCCCATCTACAAATGCACACAGATCCCCAGCACTGTAGGAGACCAGAGGTTGGCCAACTGCTTCTGTGAAGAGCCAGACACCTGCAGCTTCAGAAAGCCACCTTTGCTGCTGCCCCACAAAAAAAGGCACAGAGAATGAAGGAATGAGAAGGTGTGGCTGTATTCCAATAAAACCTAAGAAAATCAGGCGGCAGGCTGGATTAGGCCTGTGAGCCCTTCTAACATGAGACAGAAGTACCTGAAGCTGCATGGCAAGCAGGCCAATGTTCCCATGAGTTTCAGTAAGAGAAACATACAGGAAATTGCCTCAGGTGAAGATAAGCAGTTCACCACAGAGTCAGTGGCAGGGTGGGGGGGAGGGGAGTGGTGGGGGAGAGGAAGGGGGGTAGCGGGGGGAGCAATAAATGGGTTGATGGACATATGTGTGACCTTTGCCAGAAAGAGAGGCAGTCATTGTTGGGCTTGGAGTCTAGCCTCTGCCTTGAAGAAAAATGTCAGTATCCCTGGGTGAAGTCTCAAGTAACCTTCATATTCCTGATGCTAGGCCTCTCCCACCTCCTCATACATAGTAGAAACAAACAAAAGGGTCTCGGAGGACCTGTTCCAGCAGGAGACTGAGTGTCTGAATACAGCTCTAAGACATCTGAGAATGCTCATAACCAGCAAGACTGACCTTGGGCCCCTCTCTCTAGATCTTAACCAGTGGAAAACCACGTGGACAAGCCTGGGACAATCGTAATTCAGTTTCTCTCAGGGAGTTCAGGTAGAAGGTGGCTCTGCAGGTAACTTGTCATCTTACACTTTCACTGAAGCCCAGACCTGGCCCTCAATATCCTCGGATTCAACCAACTGGATGGAAGATGTTCAGAAAAAAAAAAGAAAAGAAAAAGGTCTGGCTGAGTGTAGTGGTTCATGCTCATAATCCCAGCTACTCTGAAATCCCAGCTTCTCAGGAGGTAGAGATTGGGAGGATCACGTCTCCAGGCTAGCCTAGGGAAAAAGTTATTAAGACCCCATCTCATGCAATAGGCCAGGTGTGGTAGCTACACCTGTGATCCTAGCTATTTGGGGGTTGTTAAGTAGGCTGACCCTGGGCAAAAACACTAGATGCTATACTAAAATTACTAAAGCAAAAAAGGGGCTGGGGATGGCACAAGTGGTAAAGCACCTGCCTAGCAAGTGCAAGCCCATGAGTGCAAAAATTTTTTCTTCATCTGTACCGAACACATACAGACTTTGTCCGTGCCACTGTTCCCTAAACAGTACGTGACGTGTACGTCATGCATGACCCAGAGATGACTTAGGTATACAGAGTGTACATGGCCTCTGCGCAAACACTATTTTACAGAAGGGGGAGCAAGGGGGTTCTGACACCAATCCTTGTGGATGCCCAAGGAACAACTGAGTGATTGAGGGTTTCGATATGCTCACTTGGTTCAGCTGGAGGTGGGGAAGCCAGCAGGGAAACAAGGGGAGAGCTACACTCACATAGACTTAGACAAAGAGGCTTGGCTGAGCTGACCACAGGTTAAACATCTGGGAGAATAGGCCTCATGAGAAGTGGTGGCACACCCAGGCCTTCCCACCATGCTGGATGGACAGAAGGACTCCACACCCACTGCATCAGGCATGGACACGCAGGGCAACCACTAATGCCCAAGGTTTGAAAAAGCATGTTAATTTGCTCAGTCACCCCACAGTACATGGGGCTGGATTTGAACCCAGAGCCCTGCCCTGCACCATTTCTTAACAAATGGGAATGTGAGAACAAGGTAGAGCCAAGCAGTGTAAAGACAACTTTACTCTCTTGTCTGCTTCATCCATGTTGGTGTGAGTTCCTGGTCTTTCTTCTCTGTCCGGCTCCTCCTTCGGTTTCTGTCTGAAGTTCCTACACATAAGACAAAACACACATAAACAAACACATGTGCGTCAGCTATGGGGAGCCATTCCAAGCAACTAGTGGTCCCCTAGAGTGCAAGCCACTACCCTACCTCAGGACACTCCAGAAGCATTTATTTGGTGGTGCTGGGCCTCATACATTAGGCAAGTGCTCTACCACTGAGCCTCGCCTCCAGCCCTTCATATAAAGGTTGAACAAAGATGGAAGTAGCTTAAGACAAGACACGGAGAGGACTGCACTGATGGCCTGGGCCTGATGGGAACTGTCTGCAGGGAGGAAGGTGAAACTCATGTTCCGTGTAGTTTCCCTAAGAGCTGCACTGAGTACCAGCTGCACTGGTCAGCACAGTGAACACACAGCTGACTGACACCGACCCAAGTCGCACTGTTCTCCACCAGAGCCTGCACTTCAATCGGGCAATGCCCTCCTCTGGACCCTGGCCCTAAATGTTTTGTTCCAGTTCAGCTAGAGGTTAACAAAGGCTTGAAAAAGACTACATCTAACCAAGTGTGATGGCTCACACCTATAATGCCAGCACTTGGGAGGCTGAGGCTGGAGGATCATGAGTTCCAGGACAGCATGGGCTATACAGCGAGACCCTGACGGATAAAATAAAAGGGCTACTTGTCACTTGAGCCCTGGCATGCATAAGAAAGCACTAAGGCTGGCTAGTCACATGGCAGGTGGGTCAATCCTATCCTTGTCACACTCAGTCCAAGATCAGCTGACAGCACCAAACCAGCTGCTAAGCTCAGTCATGATCAGTTTTAAGCCGAGTTGTTTCTTTTTTGTTTGGCGTACTGGTGTTAAACTTAGGGCTCTGCACTTGCTAGGCAAGCACTCTACCTTTGGAGCCACGTTCCCAGCGCTTTTTGCTTTAGTTATTTTTTAAAATCGGTCTTGTACTTTTGCCCAGAGCCAGCCTTGGATCTTGATCTTTCTACCTGTGTTTACATAGCTGGGATTTGGCGCATGCCACCATGACTAGCCCAGCCTCTGGGCTTTGAGGTTATTTGTCATCCAGTATTTCCAGGGTGAGGCAAACTGGACTGACACAGCCACTTACTCGATGGCCTTTTGACACCAGAGTACAGACTGCCTATCTGACCAAGGGAGGGCCAGGGTTAGGAGAAGGAACCGAAAAGAACTACAGCAACACGAGCTAGTGCTGTGTGTCTGACATTCTCAAGCCAAGCCTAACTAACATACCAGTGCTCAGTACAACCCATTATTTTTCCCAAAGGCTGTTAGCAATTGTGTCACAATGGCACAAAGACATGTCAGCCATACTTACCATTTCTTTGGTCTGACTTCTGGTCCTCTCGTCTTCCTAAGAGAAGCAATACAAGACCGGTTAGTTTTTTTCCATTTGGTCTTGTTCCTATTAAACTGTTTTATGAAATAACACTGAATTATCCTATCGCTAATTGGTATACAATCTACCTTCAAGAATTTTTTTTCTTTTAGAGGACGAGTAAAGGAAGTTAAGGAAATTCTTAGAAATAGATCCTACAACCTGCAGTTAAGATGGGACCAATGGCAGGTGCCTGTCATCCCAGCTACTTAGAAGGCTGAGGCAGGAGGATACTAGACCAGCCTAGAAGCACAGTGAGACTCCATCTCAGAAAACAAAGCACTGTGATTTAAATGTTTTTAACTGCAGAATTCCTCTGTTGTCCGTTATCAAGTGTTGATAACCTCAAAGGAAATAATTTTTGCCAGGCACCAGTGGCTCAAGCCTGTAATCCTAGCTACTCGGGGGCAGAGTCGTGAGGACGTGGTTTGTAGCCAGCCTCAGCAATAGCTCCTAGATCCTATCTCAAAAAAAACAAAACCAAAACCAAAAAAACTTCACAGAAAAGGGCTGGTGGAATGGCTCAAGGTGTAGGCCCTGAGTTCAAGCCTCAGTACCACCACCAAAAAAAAAAAAAAAGGAACTTGATAATTGATGCACATAATTTGGAGATGCCACAATAAGCTGGCATGGTGGTACAAGCCTGTAATCCCAGCTACTCAGAAGACAGAGGGAGCAAGATCAAGAGTGTGAAGGTGATCTGGACAAATTTAGCAAGACCCTTGTCTCAAAAGCAAAATATAAGCAAAAGGACTGGGGATGGTTCAATGGTAGAGTGCTTGCCTAGCATGTTGGCACCTGGGTTCAACACTCAATAGCATGAAAAAAAAGAAAGACCACAAAAGCTGGGGATATTAGAAACAGTTGCAGGCCTCTACAGCATAAGGAGCTGCTGGAGTGGTAGCCTGGCTGGGATTTCTATCTCACTCCTTCTGAGGGTAGGGGCCCACTAGCACCAGGGGCTGCATGCTTCTCTGTGACTGCCAGATGTACATGAACTAACTGCTATCTAACCGGAGCTGGGGTTGGACAGATGAACTGTTGAAGACCAGCTTCAGGTACCAGATGGTTCTGGAATTGTGGACCATCTCATCAGATCCCCACAAAGGTAAAACAACAGACTTCCAAGTCTAACTGGATCCAGAGGCAAGTGTTTCACTACCCGTTGAGTTTGGTTTTTGAGACAGGGGCCTTGCTATGAGCTCCAACTCAGTCTTCCAGTTCAGCCCTACAAAAGCTGGGATTATAGGTGAGCCCACCATGCCCGCTAATCAACATCTTAATGCCCAACAAAACCAAATGAGACCCGCATCTATGCTGCATAGAACCTTCTACTCCCTGACTTCAGAGGAGCTGGAGGTCCAGGGAGAGCTTTCCAATCTGTGATAAGAAGGCAACATTAGTTTGGGTTTTTTTTTTCCCTTCTCCATGGTGCTGGCAGTGGAAACCAGGGCCTTGCACATGCTAGGCAAGGGTTTTCATCACTGAGTCACACTCCAGCCCAAGAAAGCAACCTAGTATTTGGACGCTGCTGTGGAATTTTGAGCACGCCCCCACCTGTTGGAAATTGAAGTGTCATGAAGCCTCATCTGCAAGAAAGAGGCAGGTGGACAGGTGAGGGGAAAGACTAAGTTCTGTGGCTAAGGGGCAAAGGTAGCCGACACCAGGGCTGCAGCTGAGGCCCATTACTATAACCAACAACCTTATAACCTACCCTCCATGGAGAGGACCACCAGGAAAGTGAACTTGAAAAGTAGTTTAGCCCAAGTCAGGGCCAAGTCCATCATTCTGAATGTCAATTGTGTTCCTACGCTTCCCACCCCTGCCCTCATTCCTGGCACCAAGGGGACTCAAGAAGATTAGGGTGGGATTGATGAACAGAGAGGTAGCAAGGCTTTACGTTCTCGTCTCTCTCCTTCCTGAGCGGTGTGAATTCCTGGTGTTACTCTCTCTGGTTCTGCTTCAGGATGTCCAGCAACTCTAAAGCAAAACAAGACACACCAGGTATGACTGAAGCCCAAAGTTGCACAAAATCATCCCTCACCCAGAAGAAATCATTATGCCAGAACCCGAGGGCATTTTTTATTTAATGTTTACCATGGAACGAGATCTTTTTGCCACCTGTGATCTAGTTCATTCCCGCCTATCCAAATCTATTCATTCTATTCTATCTGAGTCAAAAGGGTAGTTATCTGACCTAAGTTCAGCATCCTGAACAGGTCTGTTTGCCAGGGCAAAGTCATTATAAAGCCTCTTCTTTTTAAACCTTCCGAAGGCTGAGTGCAGTGGCTCATGCTTGTAATCTCAGCTATTCAGGAGGCAGAGAGAGGGTGATTAGAGTTCAAGGCAGACAAAAGTTAGCAAGACCCTAGCTTAAAACAAGCTGAGTGTGAGTGTGGAGGCATGCCTCTAATCCAGATACAGGAGACATAGGTAGGAAGATGATGGTATGTGACCAGGCCGTGAAAAAATGTGAGATTTTATGTGAAAATGAAAAGGAAGGGGTTGGAGATTTAGCTCAGTGGAAGAGCGCTTGCCTGTCAAGTGTAAGGCCTGAGTTCGGTCCCCAGCACCGGAAAAAAAAAAAAAAGGAAAAAAAAAAAACAAAAATCCTTTCTCATCCAAAATGAAAAGGAAGAGCTGGTGGAATGACTCAAGAGGTAGAGCTCCTGCCTAGCAAGCAGGAGGCCTGAGTTCAAGCCCCAGAACCACAAATAAGCAAAAAGGGCAAGAGGCACAGGTCAAGTGGTAGACTGCTACCTAGCAAACCCAAGTTCCCTCAAAAAGGATTCCACAATGCATAGAAGAAAAATAACTATCCTTACGGTCCTCTGGACGTGACTCTACGCTCTTCTCCTGCCACAGGGAAAGGGGGAAAACAAAGAACATTGGTTTGAAAGCAAGTTCACTGCCAAGCATGAGTCAAACTACTCAGCACACAATGATGTGGTTAAGACGGGGAGGGGAAAGAGGGGGCCTGGGTTTGTGGAGAAGAT